TATATATATATATATAATATATATTTATATATATATATATATATATATATATATATATATATTATATATATTATTATATTGCAAATTAATTTTTACATTTAATACTTCAAATTAAAGTTCAATGCATTTAACATAATACTTCAAATTAATCTAACAAAACTAAAACATTAAGCATAATACGTCTAATAATTTTAAAATAACACAAATTGTCTCAAATTAACTTAAAATCTTAAATACGAATGCCTGAAGAACGCGCAAGACAACTCTTTATATGCCTCCTTAAACAGCCTGTGCCCTCCAACTTTGGACGATGAGTGTAGACTCGACCACAGTTCTTGCACTTTATTATGTAAACTTCTTCATTTTCTTCTACCACATTAAAGTGTTCCAAAACAAATGGGCGCAATCTAGAATCACCGGGCATGATTTAACTTGAATTAAAAATTTGAGTTTGAGAAATGAGAGATGAGTGAAGACTTGAATACTTCAATTTGAGTTTGAGAAATGAGAGAGATTGATGAATTTGTGAATAAAAATGAAAAAATGATGGGGTATTTATAGTTGAGAATAGGGAAAAAGTGTAATTATAAAAAGTTTGGGGGCCAAATGGCTATTTATTAAAAAGCCAAACAGCTAAATTGGCAGGACAACGGCTAGTTTTTAAATATAAAACCGTTGCCCAATTTTTCTAAATTTTTTTTTTTGAAAAATAGCCGTTGGGCCCGTTGGACCTGGTTGAACCGGCCCAGACCCGCCTGCCGGTCCCGGACTCGCGGGCTATTTGGTGAGGATCGACCCACTGTGGACTTTTAGGATCCCTAGGGACCGGCCCGTTTGGCCCGCGGTCCCGGGCCAGTTCCGCGCTAGGCTCGATCCACAATACACCCTTAGGATGAGGTTGATTAATTAAAAAAATTCCATTTCCATAAAATGCGATTAGATTTAAAGCATAATTTCCATGAGCGTTTTTCGCTAAGATCATCTCAAATTCTGCAGAAAGCATACATAGGAAAGTGCTAATAAGGGCCTGTTTGGCCAAGCTGCCAAAATCTGCTTATTTTCAAAAGTACTTTTTTTTCAAAGTATTTTTTTCAAAAGTACTTTTGAAAAAAAAATATTTTGTGTTTGGCCAATTCATTAAGAAATACTTTTTACAATATTTGACAAACAAATTGTGTCTGTCCAATCTTTATAAAAAGTACTTTTGAGTGTCAAATTACCAAAAAGGATAGTACCAAGCTTTTATAATTATTTTAAAAAGAAAAATAAATTTAAATATTTATTATAAGAGATTGTTACTCACTCTGTT